TCCTCCCTCATATCTTTCTTCTTCGTTAAATGGCTTCTGCTCAAGAAGGTTTCCACTTTTCAGTCGCGTCACGTTGGCAACTAGAGCGGCAGCCAACAACAATACAACATCCTGCAGCAAGAGCCAAGAGAGAAGAGAACTTCTGTTACAACCTTACAGAGGTGAGATTTTTAATTTCTTCCTCTTCCTGCCACTATGACCTGCGTTTTTTATTTCAATTTCTGGGTTCAATTTTCAATTTCTGGGTTACAAATTCCGAGTTCATTGACGAGGCTAGGACCCACTGTGAAAGTGACGTGATCCTCCCTAATTATAATCTTCTTCTTCTAACTGTGTTTTCTGGATTTTTCTTGCAGGTTGGAGCAGTGCATGCTGGAGCAGTTGTTGCGTACTGCGACATCGGCAATAAGGTCTCTTTGCGTCCTTTTCAATAGTGCAGGGGGGATTTTTGATTTTTCAGTTAGGGTTTAGGGATATGAGTGGAGTCACCAAGGAACAGACAATCAGTTATTTGTCGTTGCTGCACTCGAAAAAAGCTTATGGTATAAGGGATGAGCTAGTTCTTTGTTAGTCAAATGTTCTACTTGGTTAGACAGAAAGATGCTAGCTGTATGCTCTTTTTTCTTCACCGTTGAAGAACTTTGACAGAGTTGAAATGCTTGATATTGAGATTCTTTTGTTGAATTATAATGTTATTGTTGTTAAAAGCAAAGGCTGGTTGAAGGAACTTGAAAGCTTTATGTAGGATTATTATTTGATACCATTTTCATAGATCAAGTAGCTTTATAAAAAGAATCCAGTTTGAGAATTTTGTTGCTATGTTTAATTTTACTGAACTTTATGTAAGTAACTAATATTTGCAGCTTTTGTATTCATTTGCAGGTGAAAAATAGGTCAAGAGGATGCGGTTGCTTCTAATCCTAAACTACAAAATCAGCAGGCTGCTGGTACTAATCCAGAAAACAAAATCAGGAGGCTACCGGTACTAATCCAAAAGCACAAAATCCACAACCCGTACCTGTTGTTGATGATGAAGAGGTTATTGATTTGGGAAATCTCAAGAGTGATGTATGGCAGCACTTTACAAAGATAAGAAAGGGAGAATTCATCAAAGCTAAATGCGGTCATTGCAAGAAGTTGCTTGTTGGTGAATCTAATAACGGTACCTCTCACTTGAGAAATCATCTCAAGACTTGTATACAAAGAAAGATTCAAGATGGGAAGCAAAAGGTACTTGGTGTTAACTTTGTCACTAAGGGACAGAAAGAAATGGTTGCTACTCAATTTAATGAAGATGTTTCGAGGCAAGATCTTTTTATGGTCATTCTTATGCATGATTATTCCCTGTCTATGGTGGATCATTTGTACTTAAGGAGATTCTTATCTGGCCTCCCGCCCTTGTTTAGTGTTCCTACTAGGAATACTCTCAGAAGTGACATTTTTAAGATATATAATAGTGAGAAGAGTAGGATCATGAAATTGGTTGGTAGTAACAAAGGGAGGGTTGTCATTACAACTGATATGTGGACAGCAAGCAACCAGAAAAAAGGTTACATGGCTGTAACGGCCCATTATGTGGACAATTCGTGGATTCTTCGAAGTCACTTGCTTATGTATGTTATTTAGTATATAATTTGAATTCTATCTTGTTTATTTTGTGAGAAGGAGTCACTATCTTAACATTTTGCAAATGCTATTTTTTTGTAGGTTCGCATATGTTCCTACTCCTCACACAAGTGATAAGCTGGCCACTGCTTTGTTTGACAATATGATGGACTGGAATGTCAATTCCAAGGTATCAACTATAGCCTTGGATAATTGTAACACTAATGATTCCATGATTGAGAAGGTTAAGAACAAATTGGTGATGTCTTTGTTTGATTAAGGGGGGTGTTTTACTACATATGAGGTGTTCTGCACATATTCTCAACTTGATAGTTAAAGATGGGTTGGATGTGCTTCGAGATGGTATTGAAACAATTCTTGAAAGTGTATCTTATTGGACTGCTACACCTAGGAGTAGGGGTGAACAAACACACCCGCAAACCGCCCCACCCGTCCAACCCGACCCAACCCACCTGTATATATCGCTAAAACAAAGGTTTTGGGTTGGGTGAGGGTTTTCTTTTGTACAACCCGCCTCCTTTGGGTTGGGTTTGGATTTTGGATTACACAACCCGTAGAACCCGACCCAACCCGTGTTCCAACTATTAGTATGAGTTCGGATCTAAAAAATATTTATGTCGTATATAGTCATATACTTATGAGAAAATTAAGATATTTCGGCATGTTTTTCTCTCATGGTCTCACAGATCTAATGCATTCTTTGACTTAAAGTTTAGACATAAATTGAATATAGTTATGATTCACGTAATCATTTTTCTTGTGTACAATTAGAATAACATATTATGGATGCGTTTGTTTATAACATTTTTAGCCTATTTCAACAAATATTGTGAAAAAAACAAGACATATGTTGAAGTAGATCACATTTTATTAAAATTCAAACAACATTTGTGAATTTTGATACCTTTCACCTCGGTTCATTCGTTTGAAATTTTCATTAGTTATAAAATATTTTTATGATATAGAATAATTATATATTTTATGTTGGGTTGGGTTTTTACTTAAAAATATCGCCAACCCGACCCAACCCAATTAGAAACAAACCGTAGGGTTTAAATTTTTTTGGGTGGGTTTGGGTTTGATATTTCCCAAACCGTAGTGCATGGGTCGGGTTATTAAAATGACTAAACCCGAACCACCCGACCCATGTACACCCCTACCTAGGAGGGTAGAGTTATTTGAGGGGGCAGCAAAGCAATTGGGATTTTCTTGTGATAAAAAGCTGAGTTTGGATTGTCCAACTCGCTGGAATTCAACTTATCTTATGCTTGTTGCTGCCATACCGTACCAAAACGTGTTTATTAGGCTGAAGCAACGTAACTCTCACTATACTTGTTTGTCTACTAGTGATCATTGGGCATTTGCATCGATTGTTTGTGGGAAGTTGGAAATTTTCAGTGAGATCTAATTTGTTCTCTGGTACCAAGTATCCCACCGCCAATCTATTCTTTCCAAAGATATGTGATTTGAAGCTCAAACTTTGTGAGTGGCTTGTTGATGATAATGCTATGATTTCCAAGATGACTGAATTGATGTGGGATAAGTTCTTAAAATATTGGGGTGATATTCATGAAATACTAGTTGTGGCTGTTGTGTTGGACCCGAGATACAAGCTTCATATTGTGAATTATTATGCTCGGAAGTTTGATAAGGGGCAGTGTGTCTTGGATGTGGACAAAGTCAGGGCTGTTTTGAGTGATTTAATCATGGAATATCAGGCTAAACAGAATAAGAATGCCATGTTTGCTTCTGTTGGTTCAAGTGATCACTCACTTGGTAGTTCTTCCTCTGTGGATCTCGACTTTCAACTATTTGTACAGCAAGAAAAAAGTCAAGAGGAACACCAACTCAAACTGATTTGGACAATTATTTGAATGAGGAAGTCTTACCTTGTACTACTGACTTCGGCATCTTGTTATGGTGGAAGATGAACGGGGCTAAGTATCCAATTTTGCGAGATATTGCGAGGGATATGCTTGTTGTCCCTGTTACCTATGTTGCATCTGAATCGGCTTTTAGCAATGGTGGTCGAGTGTTGAATCCTAATCATTGCAAACTTGGCTACACCACTATGGAGGCATTAATGTGTACTAAAAGTTGGCTACAAAATTCAATTTCAATAGGTATATATCTTATTCAATAGTTTTTACTAATTTATTAGTTATCTTTATATAACTTCTCTTCATTCACTTGTATTAATTATTAGCTGATCCCGGAACTTTGGAAGAGATTTTTGCATTGCTCAATGATGAAGATCATGAAGATGACATTGAAGTTAGTAATTTGTCATATTGTTAATAGTATATTATATATGACAATTGAAAATGCTCATGTATCTTCTTTCTTGTTTATCCATGAAGATCAAGCTTTGGGGAATGAAAATGCACCTTATCAATTGATAGAAGATTAATGAATGATGGTTTTTGGTATTGAGAGTCTGCTGGAGTTCTGTTGCTGGAATGTTTTTGGAAATAGCTGTTGAAGTACTTTTGCCGGAAATCTGCTTTTTGCTGCATATAGTGTTGTTGGAATTTTTTGGGATATGCTGGAATCTTTCTGGAGTTTGCTGGAATGTTTCTGGAATTTTGTTGCTAAAGTTTTTTTGCTGAAAATCTGCTTGTTTGCAGGGTATATTGTTGCTGGAATTTTTTTGAATCAACTGGAATCAGCTGGAATGTGTCTAGACTTTTGTTGGGATTTATTGGAGGGTTGCTGCTGGAAATCTTTTACTCTGCTGGAATTTTGTTACTGGAGTTTGCTGGAATGTTACTGGAGTGTGCTGGAATTTTTCTGAAAATTTTGCTGCTGAACTTTTTTTGCTGGAAAACTGGTTGAAATGTGGAATTTTCTTATTATACACTTTGAACTTGGTTTACATGTAGCCTTTTGATTTGGGTTATTTTATTTGTGTGAAAGACTTATTATTATGTTAGTTCTCATTAAGTATTTCATATTTGGTTTTATTTTGTTATGATTTGTTCATTGTTTTATGAACAAAAAGGGAAGAAAGAACAATTGAGATCTCGACGGGTATCCATGGGTCGTTCGGGCATACCCGATACCCGCTCGGGTACGGCATGGTATATGATTTACTATCCCTCCTACTTCGGGCGGGTTTCGGTATAGCCGGATATCTTCACGGGCGGGGATTGGATATACTCACTATCCGTACCCAACCCGACCCATTGCCAACCCTAGCAACAAATAGCAATGCATAATTAATCACCCTACCTTAAAAGATAATTTACCATTTTACCCTTCATTCTTTTTTTATATCTTGGGTTCTAGTACTAAACTCCAGTCTGCAAAACTCTCAATCGTATCATGATGTCTTATTGGATGATACGACCGAGTTTTGCAAAATTTTGTACTCTATCTACTCGCATATTTTATTCTAACAAACTCAATAACCTGCCAAGTCCTTCCAACAGCACCAAGCAATCGATTTCATCTTTCTTTCCACAATAGAGCAATAGTTCAACACCACATCAAACTCCCTACTCTCCCTACTGCACCAATAGGAGTTAGCCAAAGTGCTCATCCTTGAAATGGTGGGTTCCAGTTCCAGGTATGTGGCCAAGGGTTGTAGAGATTTCCAAAAACTGCTAAATAGGTCTAGATACAAAACCTATGTTCCAAGTGGTATAGACTTTTAGACTTAGACCACCCTATTTGATTGGGTAGCCACAATCTCCCATGCTACTTTGGCCTTAAAAGAACCATCGCCAAACCAAGGAAATCCGAGCACACTTTCTCAATTATTGTGATAACTTCTTTTGGTAATACAAAGATAGACATCCAATATTGTACCACTGACAGCAACACTGATGAGATAAGCTGCAGTTATCCAACGTAGGATAGCTTATTAGCTTGCCGTTAAATTTTGCCTGTAATTTTGTCCACCAGTAAATTACATTCCCTACTTGACAATCTACCTGAAATCAAAGGAAGCCCCAATTATTGAACAGGGAGTTTTCCCTCCTTGAAACTAGTTACCCTGACAACATTATCCTTAAAATCAATTGACGAACCTGAAAAAGAATACTTCACATTTTTTTGGATTACAATGCAAGCCAGATTAGACAGAGAACTGATGCAGTATTTGCTTTTTTTTTTTTTTTTGAAAGGAATGATGCAGTATTTGCTTCACACAACTCAAAGCATGTGCAGACCCTCGGTGAATATCATCAAATCATCCGCGCAGCATAGGAGTGTTAGCCCTATTTTCTTGCATTGAGTGTGGTAAGGTCTTTCAATCTAATTTCCTGATAGAAGTACAAAGAGAAGTACAAGTCCTTGCTATGGGTGACTGGTAACACAGTGGCTTTTATCCATCACGAAGTATATGAGAATGCATCATCCCGATGCATTTGTGCATGTGCAATTCCAAATTGTATGCAAATGCATTAAAAGCGTCAACCAAAAAGAAAACCAGACATTTGTTCATTGGCATGTTGTTGCGAATTTAAACTATTCAAATGCACCCACCCAATAGTTATGACAACCTTAAAGGAGATCTGAGGTATTTACCTGAGCACACCTTCCACACATTCATCAATGAAGGTGAAGATCGAGTTTGGAGTGCATCTCCCCACATCTCGAACTTATCACTAGCGTAAGCGCCCTTCGGCAGCAGGCAGCTGGTGCGTTTTCCCTGCCACTTAATTATTAAATACAATCAATCGACACATTAGTGAAGCTAGACGCAGATAATTAAGTTACAACTTACAACTGTTGTTGTTTCCAAGCCTCACCTTCACTGTTCCAAAAGGACCATGAATGTTGTGGAACCTTCCAACACAGCATTCAATGCCAAAGTCCTTGGTGTAAAAGTAAACCAACCTCTGCAGGCCAGGCATCAGATTCCTTCAAGCTCACATTTGCCTCCAGATGTTTAAACTCGGCATAAATAAATGCACTAGAGGCATAAAAGATTCTACACAAACCTAAATCATCATCCAAAATCAATTATGAATTCAAAACCCCACCTAAGGAATTTCAACCCATTATAAGGGAACAAACGAAACTAAGGGAACAAGTAACCAACCTTTTGATACCAATTGATCCTAGAGGTTTCAAGCATGTTGAAGCTGATCATGGTATTGTTGTACACGATAACAGAATGGTTGGACTGAATGAATCCCATCCCGCCATATCAGCACCCAAGTTGAAGACATGGTCCACACCTCTGGTAACCTTCAAGCAATTATTCATAACCCTAAGATCCACAAGATGGAATTCATGAAAGAACACGCCTTCTTTCATGTGCTCATTCTTCTTCCAGTCGGTGGCAATAATGTAGTGACCTTCACTCTTGAAACTCCTCGCTATGTGAGAGGCAATGAAACCACCAGCTCCAGTAATATAGATTTTCAGCTTCTCAGATTGCCAATAGAGCTCCCCATAGTAACTGAAACAAAAGAATGATTAAAATCAGCAGCAAAAGAAGGTTAGAAGCCAAGTGATTCTCCATTTCCAACAAGCATTACAGTAAAGCACCCAAAACCAAACAGTCATAAACAGAACAATATCAATATCCTCAGAGAGAAAAAAGAATCCTCGCAATTCAATTCTCATCCACACAAACGGAATTTCATAAAACAGAACAAAATCCTAGGAATTTATTGACAATCCAATCCACACAAATCCAGAAAAACTGGACCAGAATCAGCAAAATTCGACAGAAAAAAAGCATGAAATATCCCAAAACAGAAATGAAAACTGCAGCGCAATGCATGGTGGAATTGAAAAAGAGACGAAGGATCCAATCCTCACATTAGAAAAAATGAACGAGAACCCATTGCTGGTATTGAAGCACTCGTGAAAAAGAGAGCCCAGAAGCTCAATCAATCAACAGAAAGACAGAATTCTGGCACAAAATTGACCTCGGAACTTTATACCTGCAAGAGACTGGAATGTGCACAGAATTCCTCTCCTTCATGATCTTATCTAACCCGAATTTCATCAAACCCAACAATCATCCTTAAAAATCACCAAGGCAACAAGGGAGATATAACTCTGCTAAGAAAACAGGTGAAAATATTCACCAATAATCTTTGCAGGAACACAAACCATTAGCAAACTTGTGAAACCGGTTCACATCCCTAACAATGATCTCTCTATCAAATATCTCGGAAGCGAGCTTCATAACCGTATGACAATCCCCACAAGTTCTCAGGTTCTTCTTTATCTGAATCGGAGCACCACAAGGAAGAACAAGAAGAGCAAATGCAAGGGCTAATCTCTCACTATGAACCCACAAGCTCTGCTCCTTATAAGCATCTGAATCATTCATTGCATGTCGAGTTTCAGCTACATACCCTTTCTTCTTCACCAACTCCTCAATTTTCTGCAACATCTCGTAGATTTCGTCGGTCCGAGGATGTGACCTATCATGAGCTGTAAACACGTAGGTTGAGTTTTTAACATCGACCCAACTACACCCAGGATCCTTTTTGACCCCTTTGGTACCCATCAATCTTCTAACTTGATCTGCTTCCTTTAACTTACCATTCCTAGCATACATGTTAGAAAGCAGGACATAGTTTCCTGGGTCGTTTGGTTCCATATCCGAAAGCCTGGCTGCTGCTTCTTTACCCATTTCGATATTTCCATGATTCGAGCACGCTCCTAGCAATGCTCCCCAGACTGCTGAATCTGGTTCGATTGGCATTTCCAATATGAACTTTCGAGCTTCCTTGAGTCGGCCTGCTCGCCCAAGCAAGTCCACCATGGAAGCATAGTGTTCAAGCCTAGGGCTCAAACCATGCTCATGTATCATTGAGTTGTAGTATTTGTATCCTTCTTCCACTCGACCAGTATGGCTACAAGCTGATATAACACAAATGAAGGTAATGTCATCTGGCTTAATCCCATCACCCACCATTTCATCAAATAGTTCGATGACTTTTTCTGCGTGACCATGTTGCTGGCAAGCAGCGATCATGGCAGTCCAACAAACAACATTTTGAGTCTCAATCTCCCTGAATGTGCGTGATGCATTGATAAAGCTTCCACATTTTGAGTGCATTGTGATCAATGAACTAGCTACAAAAGGGTATTTTGAAAACCCAGATTTTATGATATGACCATGGATAAGAAGTCCTGGATTGAGTGTTGCCAAACTAGCACATGCGTAGAGGACAGAAGAGTACGATGACTCATCAGGAGATGCTCCTTCCCTCTTCATAGTATTAAAATAGCTGTAAGCTTCTTCAAAGTGATAGCTGAACGAGCACCCTCTTATCATTACATTCCAGCCAACAACATCTTTGTCTGAGGAAATTTCAAATGTTCTAGCAGCATAATCAAGCAAACCACACTTGCAGTACATATCCATAAGCGAGTTTCTCACATAATCCAAACTTAAGAGACCAAACTTGATAATAATTCCATGGACTAACCTTCCAAATTCTGCAGACCCTACATGAGCACAAGCACTCAACACGCTCGAAACAGTCACTTGATCAGGGCTCATAGACTCATCCCTCATGACTTCCTTAAACAACACAATACAAAAATCGAACCTTTTATTCCTCAAACAACCAACAATCATCGAGTTCCAGGTAACAAGGTTTTTGTGCGACATTTCGTCGAACACCTTGTTCGCGGAACCCATCTCCCCACACTTGGCATACACATCAACCAACCCGCTTCCAACAAACAAATCCGACCCGAACCCACATTTCCAAACCAAGCAATGCACCTGCTCACCATGTCGAATAACCTTGCTTTCTGCACAAGCTGGCAGCACAGCCGAGACCGTGTACTCATTCGGACAAACGCCATTCCTCCTCATCTCACTAAAGACTTCCAACGTCATCAAGGGCTTCTTGAAACGAGAAAGCTGAGCGATAACTGAAGTCCAGGAGACCACATTCCTTGACGCACTACCGGAATTCGAAGTGAACAAGAGAAGGGTCCGGTCGATTCTGCCACAATCAGAGTAGCAGCACAGGAGGGAGTTGAAGAGAGCAGAGGAGGAAATGGAGGTGGTGGTGATGAGCTTGGCATGCAATTCTGTCGCATGTTGGAGGGTTTTTGTCCAGCCGACAAGATTCAGGAGCTTTTCAAGATTGGTGGTATTGATATGGAGGAAGGATAAATTTCGGAAAGAGTGTTGATTGGATTTCCCGGGGTGGGCCGTTGGATTGCGGAATTTTGGAGGGAAAAGAAATTTCATAATACTCCGGCAGTAGGCATAAACCTGAAAATAAAGACTTGTTTAGCTGTGATTTTTAGTAAATCTGAAACTAGAACCTGAAAATGAAACCTGTCTAGTTGATTACTAAACCTGAAAATGAATCAGTCAACCAAGTCATTAGAATTTCATGGTGATCAAGAACGGAGCACCCAAGGGTAAGTGGCATATCATCACCATGATAAACCAGGTGAACATGGACGTAAGAGCCCAAAGGGTTCTAGAGAGGGAAGAACCAGAAAACATAAGGAAAAGCTCGTAAAAACCAAATCTTTTGGGCGTTCCTCATGTCCCCTGACCTTTTGCCCCATTTCATCATTAGAACAAATTAATACTAAAAACTCATTTTGTTCATGCTAATTCAGCCACATGCAGAGGCAACTAAATGTATGATCAAATTTAATCCTCTCTACTTACAGAGGCAACTAAATACTTAGGGTCGTTTGGTAACCATGTATTCTAACATCTAACTCTCACATTACATGAGTTCATTGTTTCATTTTGGCCAAATATCATGATATTATTGGTGTCCCACCATGAATACATACAATCCAAACAATATAATCTATTATTACATGAATTCTCACAACCTCATCTAAAAAACACATGATATACTAAAATTCATGTAATCTACAATACATGGTTGCCAAACCACCCATTACTGTAATCAAACCACCAAACATATATGGTCAAAAGCAAACAACTCAAAGCAGTTCAAACTTCAAAACACCAAACCCATCCTGTTCTTCATGCTAATTCAAGCAACTAAAAGAGCATATGGAACTGAGGAAGCCTTTTATATATGCTGCAAACTGAGAAACCAAAAAAAAAAAAAAACTTGGCAGCGGCAGATCATGGGAGGGAACTAACCAGAGCTAAGATGCCGGAGCAGGATTATTTGGCAGAGACGGATTCAGCGGCGGAGAAAGGAATCATTGGCGGCGGACGGGTTGAGCGGCGACGAAGGATTTGTTGGCGGCAGACTGGGAGAAACAAAACACTGATCAGGGTTTTGGATTAAGGAGGGAAGTTGGGACGGCATTGAGGGGAAGTTGCAGCGAAGTCGAGCGCTGGAGATTGATGGGAACAATAGATTCACGAGGAATGTGGCTGCTGGAGATTGATGAGAACGAGTTCGACCTCCAAGCTGGGTTTGGGAGGAAGGCGAAGAAGTGCACGTCGCTTCAATAGCTGGATTTTGGTGTCTTTGCGGGCTGCGGCTAGAGGAGAAGAAGGGGATTTTTCCATAGCACATTTTAAAAAACAAATTACAAAAATAATACCCACCCGAAAATATTTACAAAAATAGCACATTTTTTATTGATCAGAGTCAGACTCAGATAATAATGATGAGGTGGCTCGTTACCATGTACCGAAAATATTTACAAAAATAGCACATTTTTTATGGACTAGAGTCAGAATCAGATAATGATGATGAGGTGGCTCGTGACCGTGTACCAGTCCCCTACTACAATCACATTCCAGACGACAATTGGATGGTCGACAACGATATGGAGCCGCCAGAGGTCCCAGTATGGGGTCCACTCACTGAGAGTTTATGAAGGGCCAACAATTTCAATCTAGTTATGCTCCTAACAAGGGCTTTTGTTGGGAGATACTGACATGGCTGGATGGGCCTCCACGTCGCCAAACCGCCATCCATCGGTGGAGGAGAAAATGCGTCAGAATGTGAGGGAGGAAGCCGATTCTATCGGCTGGGCCAAGCCCACGACGGCTTGCGGGGCCCGTTGGGCCTACAAATTCAAAAACCCAAAAAAATTACCCTAAACCCTACCTCTTTTCAGTTCTCCGCCACATTATTTTCCCTCTCTCTCTCTCCCTTTCTTTCTCCCTTTCCTCTCCTTTTCCCTTTCCTCCTCTCCCGAACGTAGAAGAAGCGGTCGCGCGGTGCGGTGTACTTGCCGGCGGCGATCTCGGCGACAAAGATCTCGACGGCGGCGCTTTGCAGCGAACTCGGCGGCGGCGACGAAGCAGCGGCAACGAAGGGGTTGGTTGACGGCGGCCGTTGACGAAAGAACAACTTCATTGACTGAGGTAGTCGAGTTTTTTTTTCTTTTGGTCATGAATACTCATGTTCGTTTTCATAGCTTCGACTAGATCTGGGTTTTCCTTTTCCTACGTTTTTTCTGGATGAGTTTGATGGATTTGTTTTCCGGTAACTTAGATTTGACTAGATCTGGGTTGCTTTTTTTTATTTTGTAGATATGTTTTCTGGGTTTGTGGATTTGATTGGATCTGGGTTTGGGTTGCTGGGTTTGTGGATTTTGTGGATTTGACTGGATCTGGGTTTCTTTGTTTTCTGGGTTTTGTGGATATGTTTTGTGTGCGTTTCGATATTAGCTATGTTCGGGCAGGATATCAGTTTTCAATTGCCTAGATAGTTGTGTGGTTGAGATCTGAGATTCGAATTGTAGATCCAAAACATTAGTTCCTTTCATAGTGGATAACAATTAGCATGCTTGTGGATATGTTTTCTGGGTTTGTGGATTTGATTGGATATGGGTTTGAGTTCCTGAGGTTTGTGAATTTTGTGGATTTGACTGGATCTGGGTTTCATTGTTTTCTGGGTTTTGTGGATATATTTTATGTGCGTTCCGATATTAGTTCTGTTCGGCCAGGATATCAGTTTTCAATTGTCTGGATAATTGTGTGGTTGAGATCTAGGATTCGATTTGTAGATCTGAAACATTAGTTCCTTTCATAGTGGATGCTTGGGATACTACTTTTTTATGATGTGGATATTGTTTTGTAATTGATTGTTCAGATATTAGTTATGTGATGTCTGGATATTTATTTTACTTCGTCTTGAATTTCTCTGTCTTATATGGATGCTAGTTCACTTATATTAGTTCTGTTCTGTTGAGATATCTGTTATACTATGTCTGGATATTTATTCGTTGTATCTGGATATTACTTCTATAATGTTAGTTCTGTGATGTCAAGATATTGAAAATATTATGTCTGGATATTTGTACTCCATGTTTGGATATTTGTTCTCCGTGTTTGGATATTTGTTTGCTCTTTATTGTATGGATTATAGTTACCTTATATTAGTTCTGTGTGGCCAGGATATCAGTTGATTTATACGTGGATATTTATATATGCTCCAGGGATATTGGACAATGGCAAGAACAAAAACAAAAATGAAGAGACCGTAAGAGAAGGATCATCCCAACCTCGTTGTGGCATGATCGAAACGTGGGGGGCTCGGAGGGACCTGATAAAAAAAGATAATCGAGAATTTGCACAAGCAAGACAACATTTGAACTATTGCTTTTCCGTTTTTTATGTGGTTATACTTTTTTAGATTTTAGATTATGGGATTGCCAAGTTGGAATGACAATAAATACTAGTTGTATCGCGATTTATCGAAAAACGACTTTGTTTTATTATGAATTTGCTTAAACTAAATATCAACACAAACAAACATAGATAAACATCCACAAAAAAATATCTACCTCTCACAGACTAATATCCTGCTACACAGCCAAAATATCCAAACATCGCGAACTAATATCCTGGATAGTAGGTGCTTTATGTTTGGATATTGCTCTGTCTGGTCTGGATAACAGCCCTATAATGTATGGATATTACTTTGTGCTGTCTGGATAACAGCTCCTTCATAATTGGATATTACTTTGTGCTGTCTGGATAACAGGGGCTTCATGGTCGGATATTACTCTGACAGTTCGGATAATAATTTAATGTGCTTGCACGTGTTTTTTCAGCGACCAAAACGAAGAAGGAGTCCTGATTAGTAAATATAGTGATTGGGAGTTTCTTCTTCATGCATCGACTAAATGCAACAAACAACCATTCAAACGACGGAGTAGTCTCGTCATACATCAAACAAGCACCAAACACACAAGTTTGACGGTGGTGATTGAAACCTACAAACATTCCTACACAAGACAACTATTAATGACAATGCATAACCGAACAAGTGTCGAAAAAACTCAAACAAATCAGGTGATGAATAGTAAACAACATATAATATCCATACTGCACAGAGCAATGTCACAGAACATGCCCAAAAATATCAGTAAAGCCTGGAACAATATCCTGTAAAATCTAAATAATACCTGTACTGGTATAAAAACATACCTTGATTCCTCTCCTACTATTATTGGTTCATGGGCCTTCGGCCCATGGGCCCTCGGCGGGCATCCCTAACTAAGGTTGCAAGCCTTATGTGTTAGGTCTTGATAGTGTCACAGTATATGCCAATCAATATCAGTAAAAGCTAGACTAATATTGTATGAAAGGTTACTAATACTCTTCGTGTTACAAACAAATATCCTGGCATCACATGTCAATATCAGACCACAACAAACCACTTCTATTCATAACCATTTCTATAATATAACTAAAACATCATGAAGAGAGAGAGAGAGAGCTGAATGGGATTTGGGTGGTTGTGGCATTTAATTCCAAGCAATTACATTTTCTCTTTCCACATTTTTCTTTTCTTTCCCCATTTTAATCACAAAATTGGGCCCCTTTTTCCACTTTATCCCGCCCAAACATTGGCTTCTACCAAGCTTTCCCCCCCATCAACTCCCTCCCTTTTATCGGCTAGGCTAAAAAATCCACAAAAAGCCACTAAAATGGGCCCGTCTCTTGCAACCGTTGGATCTCGGCTGGGCTTGCGTGGATAACATCCAGACCGTGTCAGCATCTCCTAACAAAAACATCAGTTAGGAGACTAACTTTTTCGCAACAATTTGGCTCGAAGAAGGAGGTGTGGCACGCCATTGAGACTGAAGCAATGACTCGACATTTTGAATGGCACACAACTCATTCCAACACTAAAAGGCTCTTAGTCAGATGCCGTAATCATCATGAGGGTTGCAATGTTAGGATTCGGGCCATCAATAGCAAGAGACAAGGCCACTGGGTCATATCCCGTTCGGTGAACACACACACATGTGTGTCATCCATAACTTCCCAAGGCCATCGACAGTTGAAATCCAGGGTGGTTGCTGCGGCTATCAAGCATCTAATTGAGCAAGATCCGGACCTGAAGGTGAAAGTCATAATCACTGACATTGCAAGTCGTTATGGTTATATGATTAACTATAAGAAGGTGTGGCATGGAAAGCAGAAAGCTCTGGCCGCCGTCTTTAGTGATTGGGAAGAATCATATGCATTCCTTCCCAGGTTAATTTTGACATTGGAGGCGTCTAACCCTGGTACTGTTTTCTCCCCTCGATACCAAGATGAAGAGATACAACCCCCAGAGCCAGGTAACAAACGCCATTTCAGACGACTTTTTTGGCATTCAAGCCATCTATTGATGGTTTTGGCTTCTATGTCCCTGTGATCCAAGTGGATGGTACATTCCTTACCTGCAAGTACAAGGGCACTCTCCTGATTGCCAGTGGGGCGGATGCAAACAAGCAAGTCTTTCCTTTAGCCTTCGCCATCGTTGAGGGAGAGAATGCTAATAGCTATGGATGGTTTTTCCGGCAAATTCAGCTCCACGTCACTAAGTGGATGAACCTGACAATAATCTCTGATCGGCACGCCGCCATTAGAGATGCCATCTTAGGTTTAGGTCCAGCCTGGAAATGGTCCCAAAGGTGGTTCATACGACACTTCAAGAGCAACTGGAACCATCATTTCAAGCGGAAGAAGCTTGCTGATAATTTGTGGTGGATTGGTAAGCTCTCTAGATGTCGGTTAATTATGTCAGCTAACAATATCTTGTAATAAGGAGAGTGGTGCATTTTTTAGACTCTTTCTAAAGAGATGCATGCCTAAGGAAATGGGGTTTTAAGCGATTATCATGGTCCTCCCATTTCCTGGGAAAATCAGGTTTTAAGCGATCTTCGGATCCCCCCTTTTTCTGTCAAACAAGCTATGTTTCTAAGGAGATGTATACCTCTCCTAAGAGTCTAATGAGAGTGCCTCTGGGTTGTTCGAATTGTACTAAATTTCCAAAAATTGACTAACGATATAATTTTCGGTGTGTTCCTCAGCGGTTGCCTACCAAGAGAAAAAATTTCAGGAGAAATTGCAGAAGATGCGCATGTTATGCCCTGAAGGGGCACAGTGGCTGGATGGACACGACCTCACCATGTGGACATTTCATAAAGATGGAGGGACAAGATGGGGTATTGCCACAACGAACTCAAGTGAGAGTATCAACTCTGTCTACAA